ATCGAGCACCAGATTTGACGAAATCGAGCACCAGATTTGACGAATTCGAGCACCAGATTTGACGAATTCGAGCACCAGATTTGACGAATTTGAGCACCAGATTCGACGAATTTGAGCACCAGATTCGACGAATTCGAGCACCAGATTTGACGAATTCGAGCACCAGGCAGTAAGTGATTTTTGAGTTTGAGTTGGATTGTGTCTCCGCCCTGGGCAGAATTTCCAGAAAATCAGCAGGTTTTGCGAAATCGAGCACCAGATTTGAAGAATTCTAGCACCAGATTTGACGAAATCGAGCACCAGATTTGGCGAAATCGAGCACCGGATTTGACGAATTCTAGCACCAGATTTGACGAAATCGAGAATCAGAGCCACCAGCCCAGGGACCAGCCCCACATTTCAAAATGAAAGCAGAGCCACCAGCCCAGGCCAGCCAGGGACCAGCCCCACATTTCCAAATGAAAGCAGGGCCACCAGCCCAAACCAGCCAGGGACCAACCCCACATTTCAAAATGAAAGCAGAGCCACTAGCCCAGGCCAGCCGGGAACAGCCCCACATTTCAAAATGAAAGCAGGAGAGTCTTTGCAGTGCATGGGAGGTTTGATTGGACCCAGACCTTTTTTTTAAAATTTTCCTGGTGCTGCTTTTGTGCTCATCGATTGTGCTCACTGTTAGTGGGACTCAGCCACTTCGAACGTATGCGCACTAAGCCGCACAAAACACCCACACCAAGCTCAACCTATTACCCAACTCTCACCATTCGCACAGAAACATCCGGCAAGTGTCCTAGTTTGTTGCTGTGGATTTTGACTCCTCTCTGTACAATTCTCTCCTGAACTCTGGGGAGCTTTCTCATGGTCGCGCCACGGCACCACTTTCTCTCTTTCCCTCCCTCTCAGAGCTTGGTTCATCACAAAATACAAAGAACATTCCTTGGGATACATCTCTATAGTGTAAAGTGTTAGCATTGCACGTTCATCCTCCGTGAAGTAGGAGAACTCCTCTTGAAGCTCTTGAGCCTTTCGCCGCGACTTGCGGACGGCCACATCCAAATCGCTGGAGACCATTGGACGGATCTTCTCCACAAGCTCGTCCAGCATTCGTGCTTCCCCATCCTCACCGACATGGGGTCGCAAGAAGAGTGGAAAACTGTTTCAGCTCAAACACCTCAAGCCACACACACGCACGAGTATGGAACACCCTACCAATCTAAGATAACCCCCGTCATGATGAACAAGCGAATGATGCCGGGCAAACTTCTTGACTCCACTGGCATGTGGGCAAGCTCTGCCTCTTCCACTGCCTCAAACGCTTACGCATGCCTACGCTACATCCAGCATTTTTTCGGATTCCAACTCTCATAGGAGTTACCGCCTTATCCAAACATATCCAAACCCTACTGCTCTTCCTGAGCTGCTGCGATCCTGAACAAAGATGATGCACATGCCGCATTTGCTGCTGGCGCCATGGCTGGAGCAGTCGCAAATGGACAAATCCGGAGGACGAATGGGTTTGTGAACCGTTGCTCTTTTGAGGCCTTTGCCGGATGAGTTGAGAAGTAAACATGCCCTTTTGTGCATGTATTCTGAATGCAAATCAATCAACCGTTGCCGTGTTTCCCTTCTCGGAGTTCTGGGGAGTTCGGAAACTCATCGGTCACACCTCTGGCGAGACGCCGGACGACTGCGCGCATCGGCCGGAGCGCCAAATGGAGACGCGTCCGGTTTTCTTAGAGCGAAACAGCTGCACCATGCTCTGAAAAGAGAAACACCTTCTTAGCATAAAGAAGCCTTCTTTTTTTTTGTAATACTGTACAGTAAATTTAACTAAGTTTCTATAGCTTCACCATGCTTCACCCAATTTTTCTGTTGGCGTGTTGGAACACCGAATTCACCAAAGGGAGCGTTTGAACGTGCGGGTGCTTGCCTTGATCGCGGTCATCGTTCAGGGGACTCCTGAGTGCGTACAAAACACATAACAAAGGATTGAAAGATATTGAGAGAAAATGGCAAAGACCCCGAGTTCGGTGGTTTATATGGGCCCCAATATATAAAAACATCTTGGATGACGCGTGCCATGCTGCACCTCTGCAACCACTGGTAAATTCGACTGAGTCGATGTAAGGGCCTCGTTTTTCTTGGGGGGGCCCAAAGCTGACAGGCATTCAGGACACATCTTCGAGTAAAATTCCCATAGATCTTCATCCATGACTTGAACGAACCTGATGGGTACGGTATGAACATACCCTAATCTAGAACGACTGGCCTTTAGAGATAGGCTTCTTGAATGAGGTCAGCAACTCAGAACCAAGAAAACGGGACCTCGTCTTCTTCCTTGCCTCTATCAATCTAGTCTAGGACTCTTGAAGGAGTTCAACTTGCGATTTCTTCCTCCAAGTTCCACTTGCCAGTTTGAAACCCCGAGAGCATACCACCTAATGAGTGCCCCTAATGTCTAGCGCTGTAAGGGTGGAATAAAAAGCACCAAGTCTGCCTAGCTCTCTGATTTCTCCGCCCGTGCTGTCGCTGTCTGCGCCCGGCGTGTGCTTCCGGTCCTCGTCTTCTTCACTCTCACTCTTGCGCTCCACTTTGGCCTTCTCCTCGGGAATAAAGAGATGAAAACTGTGGACAACATGCTCTCCCAAAGGACTAGAGGCTGGCCCTGCAGAAGACATGAAAAGCCCCCAAACCCCTGGGTTGTGGAGGAAAAAGGGTCAAAGCCACAGGTCAAAGCAAAACGTACATGTTGGTCTGTGGGGGGTAGCGATAGCTAGCCGCATGCAATACCTGCGTTCAGCCGCTGCTAAACTTCAGAGGAGCTGTTGAACCAAAGTGATACAAGGAGCTGTTGACCTCCAATAGCAAGTGGCGATCGGCACTCTAAGATTTCACAGTGTAAAAAACCTTCTTCACATTTAGATTTACAACACATGGCATGGCATGCTTACAATACAATACGAGCATACAGAAGCATATATATAGATCGCAAATCGGACATCTGCAGCCCATCCCCCGAGCAAGTGGACATCCATCAACATCCCGAGCTAGATTCGCTAGATCTTACAGTTCCAAGGGCGTCTTCACGTTCGGGCCGTAATCGCCTTGCAAACCTCCCAGTGGATCCGAGCGCGGCCGAATTCGCCGCAGAAGTGGGGGGGGAATCCACTGGGTGAGCCGAGCCGGTGAGGTGAACCCCTCCCACCCTTTACCTCCGTTCTTTTTGGCTCTGGGCCGCAGGGATGGGCTTTTCTTTGCTTTCTTGAGGGCCAAAAGTGATTCACCGAAGTCGTCGTACGCACCGAATTTAGTCCAGGCGGCGAAATGATACAAGAGCTGCCGTTTGTTGTACTCGATCTCCGCCTTTCTCTCCTTGAAACCGAGGAGGCATGGGGCCCTAGGCAGATCTCTTTCCCCTGGGGTCTTGTAGGGGGCCGTGGGTGCGGGAAAGTTATATAGTTAAATATAAACAAATTGAATGGATGGATGTTGATTCCGGCATTCCAAACGTGTCTTTTGCGCCTTGTGCTATAACGGCTATAACACGTCCTCCATGTTCTTTGGCACTCCAAATGGCGGCAAAAGTATATATGCCGCAAGAACAACTGAGGTTCCCATCCAGTCAGTGGATGTTCTGGGCACCCCTAACCTCCAGTCCTGAGGCAGATCTTTGCCATTTCAGTATAGGAAAGTTTAACAAGGTCAATGCGTCAACTCATGCGATGTCGTCTTGGGTCTTCACACCTAGCAACTAGGAATAGGATGGTGTTTCATTAGGAGGGTAGTTTCCTGATGTTGGTGCAAAACTTCATTGAAGTGCCCGAGACTGACCGGGAAAAACACGTTAAAAAGGGAGTGTCAAGGCTTTCTCCAATAGATTAATGCTTGCACCATGTTTCAAGGGTATTGATACTTGGATGGGCCCAAGCGCATCGTTCAACCCTGGAGCCCTGAAAAGCGTCATGATCCCTTTCATTCAATTATATAGGGGCAGAATATCAACAACTTAGACACTCAAGAGCCCATTTGAGTGGTGCTTTCTTCTTCCCCTCTTGAAGGAAGCTTCTACCAGCGCCACATGTTCGATACGGAATGGTTTTTGCCGAAGGAACCCCCACCTGTGCTTGTTGAGTGGGGCGTCCGCAAGTCCTCCCAAAAGAGGTTTCTCACCTTATGGGTGGTGTTTGGCTTCGTCAGGCTCTGCTATGCACAATAGAAAGCTGCCCCTCTGGCCTCCTCAGAGGCAAACTGCTTCTTGGGCTTTGGTTCATTCCTGCGGGGAGATTGAGGAGCAACTATGGCAATGCCAAACCTCTGAATTCTTGCAACAAACGCAAAGACTTCAAGCTAGACTTTGAAGTGCTTCTTTCTGGCCGTCTTCTGTCTGTAAGGGGGCGACGCTGTGAATACGGGTAGGAAAAACACCATGAACACAGCGAACGCTTGGACATGATGACGTTAAAGCAAGTGACGTTTGCCACACTCTAAGTGCTTTCCAATACTTAGTTCAACACTCTTCAACACTTTGTTGTCAAGACTGGCAAGATAGAAGAGGCAGACTTCTTGTTGGTGCCCACGGGGAGCAACAATACCACTACCCTCTTGCCCTCTTGCAAGGCTGTTTTGGGGCAACAGTGGATCTTGAAAAACTGCGACGTAGACGGTTGATATCTGTCGATTAGTCACCCCCCCCCCGCACCAGCTTGGTGATTCATCAGCAGTCTACAGTATTAACAACCGACTCTTTGAGTTTGGATTCTTTTCCAGGTGAACCCGAACTGTTCCTCGCTTTCGGTGTTGGGATGTTTTCCCCCTTGATCCACCCCAAACACCGGTTCTTCTTCAGTGGGAGGTTCGGTTCTTGATCCACCCACCCCAAAAAAGCTTTGGTTTTGGTTTGAGGTGATCCACTGGAACTCCACACATGCCCCAACTGAACCTTCCTCCCCGGTTTGACCCACCTCCGCTCGGCACCGGCCACCTCCGCTGCACCGGCGCCCATGGCATGTTCCACGTGCCGTTGAGCCGAGCGCTCCGCCGCGCAGGCGACGCGCGCCTGGCGGGGGTGGGTGGGAGCTCCCGTCTGGGACGGAAAAAGGTCTTTTGGCTGCAACGTGTCGTAAAAATTAATTTTGTGGACTGGAGATACGGCGTAAAACCATGTAAAACCTCTTGCAATTCTGGTGAGGAGGCTGTAATTACATGTAATTACATGGTCTTACAATCCATGTCTGGGGGAGGTACTACTGATCAAGAGTCTTACATGATGCAATGCTTGTCTTGTAACGGAAGGACATCCAAGCAGTATCCGATATCCCATACCATACCCCCATGTAGATTGACAGTGACATGGATCTCAAAAACCTCTGGGTTGAAGAGCAAAATGGTCTTCCACATCGGCTGGTGGCAACCAACCTAACCAACCAATCATTTCTGGACCTCTTGAATGGCTGGATCTGTTCCCCAAGCCCCAATCCTTCCTGCCGAATCTACCCCCGCCCAACGCCACGATGTCCTTGGCATCAACACCCAAGTCACCACCTCCTCAGTTCCAGCCTGTTCCAGCAACCCAACCGGTTTGATTAAAAAAGGCACACACGAGCCGCTGCCGATGAGGATCTCAGCCTCCTGCAAGAGCTTGCGGATGTTGGGGTCTTGTGGCCTTAGTCTGTCTGACTAACCGAGGGCCCTGGTCGAAGCAGTGAACCAGGCAGACGGCGTGGGCCGGCCGCGAAGACGGGTGGCCCGGTCGGTACGAACCAGATCAGTTTCTCGACAACCCCTGGTCCTGGCATTCAAAACTGACCTGGTCTTTGTTTAAATGAACCTGCTACATGGTGCAGATTCACCGGGTGAAGATCATTGTCCTGTGGGCGAAGATCTGTGGCACCCTGATGAACTCTGGGGAGGCGGGCTATGCACAGCTTGCCGTGCTAAATCCAAATGCAAGTCTAGTGTGTATCCAGCCACTTGGAGGATTGGAATGACGAGTATCAAATGGAACCTGATCATAGACTTATGTAAAAAAAGATTGCAAGAACCAGTGTCTACAAAACAGCAGCGTCACATGAAGCACCTTATGCAACTCCGCCTCGGCCATCGTTTTGAACGCCTTCCGAGCCCGCCCAATGTATGCCTCGCAGTCAAGTCACGCCAAGCGTGCAGCCTCCGTGAGGGTGCTGGCCGCGGAGGCAATCTCACCCAACCTGGCCGTCTATAGGTTGTCCAACCCCTCCTGTATTTCCCTATCTGATATCATGCAAACTATCTCGCTTGAACATCCATGTCTCCAACTGCATCAGGATGACTCAGCAGGCTGGAGAAAACAAGTAGAGAAACCACGCCAGTCGTAGACTCAATCAGTGGGGCACGATCTATCACAAGATGTGAGCTACACAAAGGTTCTTCCAGAAAGCATCTCTTCACACAAGGGGCCGGAAAAACCATCACTGATACTGATACTTGCTTGCCTGATAAAATTATCCCCTTTCCGCCTTTCCACAATTTTGTCCTTCCAACGCAGAAAAAAAGGGGCCGAAATGTGCTGAAGCTGTTCTCCTGCGCTTTTCTTCCAATTAGGCCAAAAATCGGTCGCTCGGCGGCGATCTTTGCTTCTGAGTGGCAGGAGCTCCGCTTTGCCCTTCCGAAACCTGAGGTGTCTGGCCCCCCACGCTGCCGTCGCGGGTGGGTTCCGGCCAGTTGGGAGCGGGTCACCCGCGGTGGTCGCAGCTGTCGACATGGGCGCCTGGTTGACCGACCCCTTTCCAACTCACTTACAGTCACATCGCGCCGGCGAAGTGAAGGTGGTAATGGTACTGGTTCTTGGGGCTTGACCTCTACGCCAGCTAGCTTTCAGACTATCACCCATACGAGGAGTCAATGGCCGAAACCCAAGTGCAGTAGGGAGAAACGGGTTGTTTCGATCCGCAGTCTGAGAACAACTACCTGAACCAAGCTGCTGAAGAGAAACACTTGCAACATCCCCCCTCCAGCAGGGTATCTCTTGACACTGCCAAATGATTCACCATTTAACACCAACATCTGGTGGAAGGGCCAGGTAGCAGTCAGGTCGTTACCCCTCAGCGTGGCATGCCTGCGATTGATTATATGAGGTTTCCTAGGGCGAACCACTCGGGAGAGCCACCAAACGCCCGTATTTTGGGCCAAACTTCCGATCAACACACGGTAGCTGTATTTAGATCAAGTACCGCGACTTGGCCTTCTTTTCAACCAACATGTTTTTATAAGGAGTGAATTCACCCAGGGTGTTTTGTTGGTAACCCACTTCCCCATCTCTTTGGAAACTAACTGTTCCACTTCCACCTCACCTGTCTTCCTTCCACGCTTGGAACTTGCTGGCCGTGTCAAAATCCTAGCTCCTTGCAAACCTTCGAGTCTGTCCCACAAATTGTCCCCAACAATGTTTTGAGAGAACCTCATCTCACTGGCCGGTGTTTGTTCAAAACTTCTTCATGGATTCATGAAGTATATGAAACGTGTGAAACTATACCAGGACACCCTACAAGTAAGGGGTGTCCATTGAAAACCCCTGTTCGAGGTGATATATAACGTATATATATATATATATATATATATATGCGGGGTGTCCATTAAAAGCCACCCCAACTCCCGTGGGTCCTAGTACTGGATCATCCCACTGGCCGCCTTCGTTTGGTGCGTTCCCAAGGCGCCAAAGCTTCGGCTCATCCTTCCGCAGCTGCAGCCCGCGGTGCGCGTAGCGCTTGGCCTTCCCTGCCGAAAGAATGGCGCTTTTCGCACATGACGTGACGTGGCCCTTACTTGCAGCAGCTCTTGTTATCGAAACACAACAAGGAGCCGCTCTGCGTTTTCTTCCAAACCATACGGAAGATGGTGTTATCAAAAAAAACAGCCGCCGGCCGCTCTGTGTTTTTCCCACCTGTTCTCTGTGTTCTTTTTTCCAAACCCGAGCAGCACGGGATGTCCATTTGGAGTTGGTGCGTGGACCTCTGGGAGTTGGGGAATAGGAGCTCCCCAACGGGGCAATGTACGATCATACAGACGTCTCCGGCAACCTCACACGGGGCACACTATTTTCATGGGCTCTGGGTCAATGTATGCCCTAGAAAGCCCAAGGCATTTAGCTCAGTCATCCAGAAAAAGAATTGAAATGGCAACAAAAAGGTTGAAGAGATCACCTTGTATCGCCTTCTGAATCCTTCTCGAACTCATTTCCACCACAAACGCAAATGGAAGCCTATAGTACATACGTAAATGCATGTACACAACTATCAACTATCCCTTGGCATAGCTCTCCCAACACGTGGACCAGGTAGCGGCCTACGGCGGGGCTAGGAACCTGTCTTGCTCAATATATGATAAGTGGATCAAACATGTGTTGGGTGACCACAGGCTTCTGCCAACTCCTGGAGGGCCATCTGAAAGTGCAGCAACTTCTCCCCATAGCCTCCCTATTGTGGGTGGCCGGCTGGCCTGGGCCGGATGGCCGGGTGCTCTCCTCCACTCCCAGTGCAGGCTGTTCCGGCCTGCGTAGCCCTCAACACTGGGCTCCTGGCCCGTTTCTTCCAGCGCAGCCAGGGAGGCAGCGGCCAAGTTGCTCAAACCTCAGTTGTGCAGCACGGAGCTCGTCTCCTGGTCTTTACATGGGGCTGATGCAAGTGTGCGGCTCATGGGAAGTGGAGCCATAAAATGGAGTGAAGTATTGTCACTTAGTCCATGACTTAAGACTGCCAAATCCAAAACTGACGTATTGTGCTTCACATGGATGGCACTTGGCACAGTGCGTTTTGGATTGGACATCATTTTGCAAGAGAGTTCTGCCTCAAAGACCTAAAACAGCATTGAACATCAACCAACCATTGGATGGAAAAGAATCCTCTCTCCACCGAAGCATGCCCCTTTTAACGCAATAGAATGCCTGTCTTCTTGCCTTCTGGGCTGTGCACACCAAAGCCATCCCCCAAAAACCGTTCCAACCCTTTTAGCGGCCACGTGGCAGCGCAGGCGTTCCGCATGCACCTCCTGCAGATCGGGCAGCTCTCGCTCTTCCTCGCTGTCCTCTTGAAAGTCCTGGAGATTCAGTTCGGCACTCTGCTTGTGCCTTTGCCCACCCAAAATCGGTTGGCACTGTGCACTCTATTTTGTTACTGTATATATAGTTCTGCCTTCGTTCTGTGCTTTTTAGCCCGCCCAACATAATTATCATGGCATGGACTTTTTAACTGGAGAGGATCCTGACATCAGGGAGGCATCTACGCAGCATTCGATTTGCGTATTGAACGCCATGGGAACACTAACAATGAAAGGCAAATACAGTAGGTCCCCAGTCCACGGCGGGTTTGGTGGTTCACTTGCTTTTGCAGTGTATCTCTGTCACTTTCCCCAGAAGCTGACGGAGTGTTGCCTAAGCTTCACTTCGACGAGCACTTCCAGTTGAGTAGAATCTACAGCAATAGAAACATCAGGAGTTTAACAGTTTCTCCCCAGCAAGTGGCGCGAAAGGCCGTTCCTGGCCGTTCCACCAACAGGATCCAACAGAATCCGACCCTCAGCCTCTTCAAACTCCACCATGAAGAGCGCCTTCTTGTAGAGCTCAAACGCCTTGAAAGGTCGCTCCCCGAGAACCAAAACGGGCCCCCTTGTGGGTTCCCCAGTGGCTCACGGCTCACGTCAGTCATCCCAAAATCCACTGCTGAAGCCGCATATCTCGTTCTGACCATCGTTGCCAATGAGGGGCATATGAGAGATCAACTGCAGCATGAGGATGACTCCATTGACCCCACATCTGCCAAAAATACACTCGAATACACTTGTCTAGATAGAGACTATAGTGAACATCCTTAAATCTCTGCATCAGCAAATTCCTGGCAGAAAAAGAAACAACACACTTTCCCATGACACGCTCCGTTGCAGTTCACCACGGTTTGGCAGTTCGACACATCGCCACCTCGCCTCCACGGGCCGTTGCGCGCGCATCTCCACGTTGCCCAGCTCGCGGCGGTGCTGCGCCACCAGCAGCTGCTCCTGAGCCAACGAACTGAAGGGTGGAAGCGAGCGTTTTCCGAGAGAAGACGCATGGCCTGCAATGGTCTTTGGGATGTCTTTGGTACATTTGCAGTATAAGATGTATAAGTCAATAGCCTTAAGCTGCTATGGTAGATGTTGGATGGGGTCTCAGGCCATTTTTGCGCTGGAAATGGCAATGCCCCCACTCCGGCCCATGCATTTTTTCTTGTCCAGTCCAGCTTTCGCATGTGTTGCAACTCAGGTTTTGAACGCGTTCCAAGAGGTTCCAATGCGTTCCGTCGAGGTGAGGTGCCAAGGCGTTCCGTCTTCCCTGGAGGGTAAGCAATTCCCACAAGACTTCGCCATTTTTCAGGTGATCCAGGCTTGGATTTTCTTGGAATACCTTAGCCAACCATCATGAAGACCTGGCCCCCGCGCCAGGTCCCCCACTCCCTGCAAGAACCAGGGCACTGTCGGCTTTAGCTCCCACTTCTCCCGCGCCGCCAGGGCCGCTGCTGCGGCGGGCGCCACCACGTCCGGTGCCGTGTCACACATGGTGGGCGCGCGGATGGTGAGATCGAGACTTCGGATGGTGATCGGATGGCACCCTAACAGTTCTAGACCAAACAGTAAGACATGTGTTTGACTTACTCCCAGCTGAACGGTCTGGCCGGTAGCAGCAAGACTAAACGTGTAAGACAACACACTTGTATAATGAAACAACTGTCTTTGATCTATTTTTGTTGGAGTGCTCCCCTGGTAGTCAATTGAACATGAACATAGAGTCAAACACTGTATAGTCAAAGGTTTAGACATAGGCCCCAAAACTGTGGTGTCACTAGTGAACTGGACAAATGAGTCCTCATCATAAGGTCCCTCAGACCCAAACCCCAGCATTCCCAACAGTACCAACCTGCTTCGCATATCGAAATTCATATTAATATCTTTTGCCCATTCTCAGTCACCGGACATTGTACTGGTTCAACATTCAGCCAAGGTTTGTGTTGATGTACCTCATGCCTCAAAGGCTCCCCCAAATTCTCACTGCTACTGGCGTGGCGTGCATACATGTGAGGACTGAAGCGAGTCTCCACTGTCAACGCATGAGCAAGAAGTCGCAGTTCGCTGCGGTGCTTCGCACCAGCGAAGTTGACATACAATGCCAATAGCAGGTTGGACCTGGGGGCCTTGTGACAGCATCTCCAATCATTCCATATAGAAAGAGGACTGGGCCAGGGGGTCAACCTGTGCTGAAACACAAAAAGCACAGGACCTACAAGTAGCAACACGGACACTGGACCTCATCGAAGGGCTAATCAGCTGCGTTTCCCTTCAAGAAAATAGCAGCAACCTCAGCAACCTATCATCCAACATGACACATGCAGTTACTGTTTCAGAAGAACTACATCCTCTTCCCACGATCCACCAACTGCTCTCCATCTTAACTCAACAAAAAGCGCAACCCTGCTTCATCTGCATCTCATGTTCATCCACTCTTTGACAAAGAATTGAAAGGAACCATGACATGTTCATTCAAGATTCCTTGACAAGAACCGAGCACTTCGACTTCAACTCTTTGACTTCGACTTTTATCGACTCTTTGACTGGTAGCAGCAGCTGGGAGAGCAATTCCTTTCCAGAACCATCCTCTCCCAAGATGGCGCTCTGCAGCACCGTCAACGCCTGCCCAGACACGCGCGCGTGAACCAGCTGCCAGCTGCTCCGTTCTTGACATCTTTAGGCTGAATTATGCCAATGGATCTGCCAGGACCTTCAAAGTGACCTTTTGAGATCCTAGAATGAGGTCACTTAGTCCCTAAAGAGGTCACTTAGAGACTCCAAAGAGGTCACTTTGAAGGTCCTGGTGGATGGATTCAAAAATCCACTAGTATGCCTCTGGTTGGGGTGTTTGCACCGAGTAGCTTCAGTGGCATTCCCTTCAGTAAATGGATTACGTTTAGGACGACTACTACGAAGGGGAGCTTCTGGAGAAAAAGAATTGCCAAAGCTCTCTTGCCGACAGTGGTGCCAAGTTAGTGTAACTGGGTCTTGCTTGGAAACCTTTAAAAAAAACAATCTTTTCAACCAAGGGCACCACAACAGAACGTATATACTGTAATCACAGAATCCCCTCCTCACTCGGGAGTTTTGGGAGCTTGATTCTGCAGTAGAGTCAGTAGAGTAGTGTGTAGATCTGTGAGTTGGCATCCCTTCTAATAGCTTGATGAATCTGAACTGCTAGATATGGACCTGCACGAACGAGCCTCACCTCACCTGCCACACAAAAAAATGCTCTCTGCTTGGGAGGTGTCAAGGGTGCGGAGGCCAAGTTGGAACCAACAAACAAAGTCAGTCAACCAACGCAAACAACCACCAGATTGCATTGTCAAAGGATTGGTCTTTCAAACATAGCCGTCCCCTAAGAGGCAATTCAGCTCCGGGCACCGCTCACAAAAAATTGAGCGACAAAGACCAAACATAGCCCCTTCAACATCTACCATTTTGCAAACTGCTTTGGAAGAAGAAGCAGCCTAAAGAGAAAAAAACAAGAACAGGAAAGAAATCTAATCAGAATAGACAACAAGCAATGGGAAGCAATAAGAAGCAGCCTCAAGATTAAAAAATGAATAAAGAAGAATAGGAAAAAAATAAGAAGACAAGGAAGCACGATAAGCAAGCAATAAGTTATAAGAAGCAGCCTGAAGAAACAAAAGGAAGAAGAACGGGAAGAATTAAGACAAGAAACAATAAGAAGCAATAAGAAGCAAGCACCCTTCACCACCCTAGATCGACCCATCACCCACGTGGCTTCGCATGAAAGGCCAGGCCACTGAGAAGGGTCCACAGCGCAACCGCGCGCGTGAGGAGGACGTCGACGAGGACGGGGCGTGGTGCCAGGGGTTGGAGGTGGAGAGGAAGCACAGGAGGACCATGCCTTGGGAGAATTGCCATTCTTTGTCACCCTTGTGTTTTAGGATGTGTTTGTTTTAGTGGGTGACTTCAACATGAGGTAACTTACCACACTCCTCAACCAACTTCTAGGTTCGATACTACCAATCTGCCGGGTGGAGAAGTTACCATCCACCATTGGAATGGTCCGACAACGGTAGGGAACGACATAGTTTCAATGATGCGGGGGGCCAAAGGCTCATCAAAGCTCAATAGATTCCAAAGGAATCCTCCACCACATGCATGTTCTATTCTCCTACAACCTCTTCGAACTCTGCTAGGTCCCTCAATTAAATCCCTTCCCAGCGATATGCTGGACGCCCTCTTCGACCAAGCGGCAGCTGGGAGGGCGATCGTCTTCTGGAAACTCTGGGCGCCACAAGGCCTAGCAGCAAAAAAACAACCAGAACGATCCAGAACGACCAAACGAATTGCTACCAGGGAGTTGCTGAGGGGCCCGAGGGTGGTCATGGAGGGGAGCTGTCGTAGGGGAGTTTTAATGTCTGTGTGTAGTTCAATACGTCAAAAATCACAACAAAATCAACGACACGTCCCTATAGACATACCTTGGAGATATATATATATAATTACATTCGCATTTCAGCCATATCTCAGACCCACTACCCCAGCTGGACCCGCCGTTTCAACGCTGCTGGACCCGCTTCATACCTTGAGCTGCTGGACCCGAAGCCGCCCGATCAATTCCTCCGGTACTAAAAGGCGCCTCGAGAAGATCTTCGGCCAGCTCCCGTGCACAGCCTGGAGGCTCCTGAGACGAACCAACACAACAGAACACCACCGTTCTGAGTGAAGCAGGTGTGAAGATTCAGGCGTCAGAGTCTGCCTTTTACACAGGAGGCGGGAGGTATGCCTTTGATGGATTTGCATGTTGCATACTTGGTGCCTAGAGAGAGCCCGCATGGAGGGTATGGAGAAGAGTAGGAGGATACATATATACATATAAGCTGATAAAAGCCAACAGCTACAAGCAACAAAATGTTTCGCTCCCATGCTAGGACATTGCAACAAGACATGGGGAAAGACTTCACATGTCCATCGGAGAGAAACAAGCCACCATGTCCTTATCAAGTAATTAATGAATGAACTCAGTAACGTCGATACTATAAGGATCTATAAGAGCCTATACTATAAGGATCTATATACTTACTCATCTCATGCAACCCTACCAGTCTTGACCCTCCACGCATTCGATGTCGGGCCTCCAGGGCACTGGGATCATGATCCAAATGCAACTCCACCACCGCGTCGCTCCTGAACAGCACCGCAGTGGTTTGCGTGATGATGATCGATGGAGAATCCAAATGATCTGGCCATCCCACCATCCCTTTTTAAAGCCATTTAAGGCCCAAGACTTTGTGGGAAGAAATTGCAGAACGAGGTGGGATGGAGTATGGCAAAAGCCACCAGAAGACACGGTTGAGCTCCTGTACAGCAAGTTCGGGCCATCATCATCAATCAGCTGGACCTGGAGCAAGGAAGGAGGTCCGCCAATGCCCGGTGCTTCCGGGGGTGGTGTGAGACTGGACAGCGCAGGTGCCAATGGCGGTGGTCTCGGGTTGGCTTTTCATTGGTGGCCTGGATCCCTCAAAGCAGCTCCTATCAGCTCCTAATCCAAATGAGTCCAGCGCATCATAAGGCAAACAAGGCATCTCAGAAATCCGAGTTCTCACCAACACCAAACCGCCAGTTCTCCAATGTTCTCCGAGGTCTGAACACAGAAACAGCACGGACTTCCCAAATGTCTTGAGTCGCTGCAGCTGGCCACAAGCCATCATCCTAGTCTTTGGTGGTCGAACTAAATTCAAATTGGCTGCACAGGGGTGCACAGGGGTTTGAGGTAGGAAACCTGTTTGAGGAAGTGCTTGGGGCCAGTGACAGGGATCAATTGTGGAGATGGTCCTGATTTCGTGTGAATTCCTGCTCACTCAAACCGCCAAATGAATCAATACAGTCTCTGGCGCGGAATCCATCCCATAATCCATACTGCTTTCGGCATGGAATCAGTCCCCCTAAACTCTCCACCAAAGTGTTTTACATGTTTCTTGTTCATTCCTTTCCATGACGCCTTTCCTCTGCGTTCCCAGCTTCGTCCGGGCGCACCCTCCGGGCTGCCCTCACGGCCACTGCGTGACGCCCTAGACGACGTTCACTCTGCAGGGCGTCCTCCACCAGCTGCTGAAGCTCCTAGGAAGTCGGTCGGTATGAGCTTTGTAGCGGTTCTTGACCATCCAAACCACCGGGTCGGGGTCCACAGAACGCAAGGAATGGGCGATGTGTGTTGTTCGTATCTTTTTTTCCAATGGTTGGACTTCACAGTGGGCACACCAGTTGCTCATTATGGCAACATCTATGCACCTCCCCCTCCCTCCCACTCCGCCGACTAGTCTCCCTCCCACTCCGCCAGTCCCGCAGGATGTGGTACTCCATCTGCCGCTTCATGCGAAAGCGTCCTTTGAATCGCCGGTTGACCGTGACCACGGCGTCACGAAAGGCCTCGGTGGTCGTGGTCGGCGTAGCCTCGACGAAGGTGGTGGAGGGTGTGATTCACCTGGAAATGCCAAGCACAGCTGATGGTAGCGTTCTGG